ATCCTGTCCATTTGCTTACACCTGAATGCCCAGAGCCTAGCACACTGTATGGAATAGTATGTGGTTAATAATAGGAGTCAGATGGATGAATCAGCTAATTCCAAAATCATCTTACATTTTCAAACAAAGTAACTTCTCTGTTAAACTCTCCCCTTCCGGCCGGGCCCTGATAGGATTGCCAGATTTAGCAAATCATTTCATATGTGTTATATAATAATACTTGGTACATGCTTATACTAAACTGGTAATTCAGCTTAAACTGGGAGTCCTGTACTGTATCTGGCAACCCTACATCCAGAGGAGCAGCCTTGGAAAGACCCATTAACCTGCACTTTTCCCCTATTCCCTCTCAACAGCCCCTCCACCCTTTTTCCTGATCCTTGCTCTCCGGGCCACGCAGCTGCCTTGGGCTTCTGTTCCTGCTTCCTGGCCCCTCTTCCTCCAGACACTGCCAAGGTCGCCTCCCTCATCTCTAGGTCTTTGCTTAAATGTCACTTATTCAGAGAATTTCCCTGACCCCTGTATTTACCATCGCAACTCACACTCAGAACCCTGCCGTTCCTGCTTTATTTCCTCCAGGATTTGCTAATTTCGTGAACTGAGAGAGGTGGGGGACACCAATCTCTACTTGGCATCACCAGCACCTGGAACAGTGACTGGTATATAGAACAGTGATGTGGCGATCGAGGCTTGTTCAGTGAAGCTAAGTCGGTGGATCATTCGTTAGAGGTCTAGCCCTGACACACGCCAGCCGGAGTTCCAGCTGCGTTTCCTGAGCCGGGGGGCGCGCCAGGCCTACGCCGCGGGGAGGCGGGGAGGTGGCGAGGCGGCGAGGCGGGGACCCTTGGTCTGGGAGACGCAGCGACTCAAGATAGACGGCAGGGGGCGCCCGAGACCTGCAAGGTCTGCTCCGCATCTGGATGCCCGGGCTCCTCCCTGGCCGCACCGATGGAGCACCCGGCGCTTGCCAGGCACTGATGTTCTCCTAACTCCTCCGACCTCTGCCGCCAGTTCTCACTCTGTCTTACAGCTAGCTCTTCCAAGACAAACAAGTCCTAGTTTTCATTCTTTGAGCTAAGAAAACAGAAGCATACATGAGCAGAATTAAACGGTACAGAGTGTTATTACTGGGGTTTTTAAATGTTCGAGAGGGGGACTTTTGTGCCTGAAGCAACCTTGGATTTTAAGTGGTTTTACCGCAACTTATAAAATTTGTCATTCTGTTTATAGATTGGAACCTGTATGAAAATAAAGACATAGTAGGTGGTGATCAAGGTTAGTTGAATGATGTCTAAGTTAACAGATCATCCCCTAGCTTGGAAGGAAACAGATTGTCTGCTAAACAGAGCCTAATGTCTGAATCCCTTGACACTGGAAAATAGGGAAAAGCTGATGATGAACTATCTGAGGAAGTTTTAGAATGAGTCAAAAGCTCAAGTGGCATTCTGCCGGTGTGGCTCAGTGGTTGAGCATTGACCCATGCACCAAGAGGTCGCCGGTTGGATTCCGGTAAGGACACATGCCCGGGTTGTAGGTGAAATCCCCAGTGGGGAGCATGCAGGGGGCGGCCAATGGATGTTCTCTCTCATCGATGTTCCTATCTCTGTCTCCCTCTCACTTTCTCTCTGTAAAATCAATAAAGGAAAAAATTAAATAAGTCATTTATTAAAAAAAAAAAAGCTTGAGTGGCTATACTTAGTGTTTCTGCAGAGTTTAAAAGCTGAGCATCTAAGATGCAAGGCGGTTCCATTTTACAAGCATCTCGAGCATGGACTAAGCATCTGGCTGCTGGCATTGTTTGAGGAGGAAAAAATAACCTTCTAAACCAAAATCAATTTGGCACCAAGGTGTGAGAGAAAGAGGAAGGTGAGAAGATGGGGTAGGCTGAGGGTTAAGGCCTGAAGATTTCAGGTGGAAGGAGATTGTATATGGGGTGAGGAATCTGGATTTATCTGTCACAGGCCCTTGGGGAGACTTGGTTGCTGTGGAGCTGGAAGAAGGAGGCTGGGACCAGCAAGAGGTGAAGTGGATAGAAAAAGAAGAGGTCTGCCAGAAACTGAGGGGTTTATAGGGGGTGAGGGGGGTAGGGTGCACCTGGGTAGTGGTTTTGCTGTTAGCTGAGAAGGGATCCCAGGAAGTCAGGTCTGGGTGAAAAATGGTGAAGTCAGCTTTGGAAGTGTTAAGCCTTATTAACAGTTGTAGGGGAGAGAATTGTTCTGGGTTTAGAAAGGAGGAAGCTTCCATAAGAGGAGGAAAGATGAATGGTGTTCTGGAAGGAGGACAAGAGAGGGGGTTGGGAACTGTAATGAAATAAAATTTCATGTTCCAGTCATCTCCTGAATGGCTTCTCAGTCTTAGGAAATAATATCTAGCATCCAAGCAACGTGGGGAGAAGAGAATTAATATGTAAATCTCTATGTGTCCTGATAAACTTTTTTTGGAGAGTGATTTAAGATCAGTCCACATTTATATTGTAGATGCCTTTTAGCCTATCATTTCCTACAGAAACAGTCACATGTGTGTTCAAAAACCTGCACACAGATATTTTGTAACGCATTGTTAGTAAGAGTAAAAATAGGAAATATAATAGGGAAGTGGCTAAAAATTCAGAGTATATCCATACTATGGAATATTATGCAGCAGTTTGTTTGTTTTTGTTCTTTTTTTTATCCTCACCCGAGGACATTTTTCCTTTTTTTTTTTGTTCAGATAGAGTGGGAAGGAGAGAGAGAGAGAGAAACATTGATGTGAAAGGGACACACCGAGTGGTTGCCACCCACACGACCCAACCAGGGCTGGGAACAAACTGCAACTGAGGTATGTGCCCTTAGTGGGAACTGAACCCAGGTCTCTCTGGACCGCAGGCCAACGCTCCAACCATTGAGCCAAACCGGCCAGGGATATGCAGCAGTTAAAAAGCATAGGGTAGCTCTATATGTGCTCATATTAAAGATGACTAGGATTTATTAAATGAAATAAGCAAATTGTAGAAGAATATAATTTTCAATTGTGGGGAACATCTGGCCAAATTCATACACAGAAATTCTGAAAAGATGCCACCCCTCTGTTACTAGTGGTTAACTGGGGAGGATGGGGCATGAGAAGGATGAAAGTACTTTGAAGGGATTACTTCAAATTTTACACTATATACTTCTGTAGTTTGACTTTTGTACAAAAAAACACGTTTTACTTCTTTAATTTTATTTATTTATTTTTATTAATCCTCACCTGAAGATATTTTTCCACTGATTTTTAGATCAAGTGGAAGGGAGGGAGGGGGAAAGAGAGAAACATCAATGTGAGAGGGATACTTCGATTGGTTGCCTCCCGCATGACCCTTACTGGTGCCAGGGATCGAACTTGCAATCCAGATACCTGTCTTTCACCCAGAATCCAACCGGAGAACCTATTGTCAGCAGGCCAACGTTCTAACTGCTGAGCCAAACTGGCCAGAGCTACGTCTTTAATTTTAAAATAATAGGAAAAAACAGGGATACCAATGTTACTCAGTAGTAAGGATGAAATGAGCAAATAAGTGACAAGGAGCTTCATAAAATGCTGAACCGATAGAGATGGTTATTTTTTAAATGTTTTTTAAATATGTTTTTATTGATTTTAGAGAGGAAGGGAGAGATAGACAGAAACATCTATGTGAGAGAAAAACATCCATCAGCTGCCTCCTGCACGCCCCCTTCTGGAGATATAGCCCGCAACTAGGCATGTGCCTTGACGGGAAAATATATATATTATTTATACACACACACACATATATATATATATATATATATATATATATATATATATTTATTTATTTATTTTTATCCTCACCTGAGAACATTTTTTTCCATTTTTTGTTCAGATAGAGTGGGAGGGAGAGAGAAGAAGAGAGAGAGAGAGAGAAACATCAACATGAAAGGGACACATCAAGTGGCTGCCACCCGCACGACCAACCAGGGACAGGGACAAACTGCAACCGAAGTACGTGCCCTTAGTGGGAACCAAACCTGGGTCTCTCTGGCCGATGCTCTAACCACTGAGCCAAACCGGCCAGAGCCATATATATATATATTTAAATCCTCACCCGAGGATATTTTTCCATTTATTTTCAGACAGAGAGAGAGAAACATCGATGTGAGAGAGACACATCTATTGGTTGCCTTCTGCAGAACCCCCAGACTCTCTAACCACTGAGCAACCGGCCAGGGCCATACATATACATATATATATATATAATCTCCACCCAGCCCCTGCTCCATTCATATGCTAATTTCTTCAACTTTGCAGTAGAATGTAAGTTTCAAGAGGTCCACACTGAGGTCTCCTTTATTATTAAAAAAATTTTTTTTCTTTATTGAGTTTAGAGAGAGAGGAAGAGAGAGGGAGAGATAAAATAGAACATCCATCAGCCAACTCCTGCATGCCCCCCACCCGGGGACTGGGCCCACAACCTGGGCATGTGCCCCGATCAGGAATCGAACTGGCAACATCTTGGTGCATGGGTCGATACTCAACCACGGAGCCACACCGGCCGGGCTGGGCGCTCCTTTATATCCCCCATTTCTGCAACAGTGCCTGGAGCTTAATTTTTGTAGAATTAAACATAAAAACTTACAAATGGACCGCTATGTACCGAACTAGTTAGTAGATGTTCAACTGTAGGATGCGACTGCAGTTGACAATTATTTAGTTTCCCCAGCCCAGTTAAAGTTCAAGGCTGTCGTCCGTCAAGGCTTTAGGTCCCCAACCGGTAAATTCTTAGGACGGCTGGCTACAGGGCTCCTGGCCGAACGTTGCCTACACTCGGAAGCTTTACAGCATCAAGGGAGGTTGCTTAGCAACGAGACCGATAAGGGGGGCCGCGGGGCGCACGCGTACGTGAAGCCAGCGGCCGCAGGCGGGCCGTTTTGCGCACGCGCGGGAGGCGGCCTCCAGGCGTTCAGGGCTTGACGGTTGCTAGGGTGACAGGGATACAACATGGCGGTCGGATCCTAACGCTCTCCGACAGGGGGCCACCGCGGAGGTCCTAGTTCGGGATCCTGCCTCAAAGGAGTGGAAGCCCGGGGTCACCCTTCTTGCCTCTTTCTTCTCCGTCGAGTGTCGGCAAGGTGTTGTCGCCGGCTTCCGCATCCGGGATGAAGAGTGAGTGGGGCCGGGGAGGGGCGGACACGCGAGGGTGAGTGGCGGGAGCGGGACGGGCCGCCGAGGGGCCTCGTCGCCCTCGGTGTCACTCGGGCCCCGAGCTTCCCTGGTCTGTGAGAGCCCTTGAGCCGCAGGTGCAAAAAAAAAAAAAAAAAAAAAAACCCACAAAAAAACACATTCCTTTGCTGTGAAAATATTATGTTAGTGTAGTTGTAATGTTAAACTTGCATCGTATCCTAATAGTCAATCGGTAGTGGCATCGATTGTGTAACAAAGATATTAAAAATACTTGATTCACCTCATTCACCCTTTGCAAGCAATTCTTTTTTTTCTCGTGTTGGGTATTGTTCGCTCAAAGCTGTGGTTAGAGTGCGAGGTTTACGGAAGGCTTCGCACTTTTGCTTACAGTGTGAACTTATATACAGTACACACACTTTTTTTTTTAAACCATATTCTTTTTTTTTTCCCTTTCCAGCTATTTTGAAAAAGTTTCAAATCTACAGAAAAGTTGCAAGAAGAGTTCCCTGAGCCCTGGCCGTTTGGCTCAGCGGTTGGAGCGTCAGCCCGCGGACCGAAGGGTCTCTGGGTTGATTCCAGGTCGAGGGCACGTGCCTGGGTTGCTGGTTTGATCCCAGGCTGGGGTCTGGGTCGTGCAGGAGGCAACCAATCCATGTTTCTCTCTCTCCCTCCGTCCCTTCCACTCTAAAAACCAATGGAAAAGTATCCTAGGATGAGGATTAACCAAGAAAAAAAAAAAAGAGAGAGAGAGAGAGTGACACCCTGAATGTTTATAAACCTTCGTCTAGATGTCCCACTGTGCTCTGGGCATTTCTCTTTCTCTCTAAATTATGTATTTATCTTTGCTGAACCTTTTGAGAGTTAGTTGTAGACATTTCACCACTAGCAATCAAGTATCTGCTAAGAACAGGGACGTACTCCTCCACAGTCACAGGACAGCTAGCATGTTGACACAGTACTGTCACGGAGTATGCAGTCTATAATAAAGATTTTCCCAGTTACCCCAATAATGTCCATGTTAGGTGTTTGTTCTCTTTCCAGACTCCAGTGAAAAATCACAAATTACATTTTGTTGTCCCGTCTCTTTGGTCTCCTTTAATCTGGCACAGTGCCTTGCCTTTTGTGTCTTTTTTCAAAAGTACGTTTTTACTGATTTGAGAGAGAGGGGAAGAGAGGGGAAGGGAGAGGGAGAGAGAGAGAGAAACATTGGCTGCCTCCTGCACACCCCCTACTGGGAATCTAGCTGGCAACCCAGGCCTGTGCCCTAACCGGAATTAACCTTCGATCTCTCAGTACCTGGGTTCCTATTCAGCCGCTCAGCCACACCAGCCAGGGCACTTTTATGTCTTTCATGACATTTTTCAAGAATCTAGGCCACGTGTTTTGCAGAATGCCCCTCACTTTGGATTTGTCTGGTTCCTTCCTCATGTGTAGCTTTAGCTCAAATATTTTTGTCAGGAATATGTCAAAATGATGTGTCCCATCAGTGTGTCCCCATTTTGGTGAAATTAGGTTTGATCATTCTGTTTATTAACCTCGTGCCCCTCTCTGAGAGGCAATCACTCTTACCAGTTTCCTGTGGGTCTATACATATAAGTAAAGGGTGGGGCAAAAGTAGGTTTACAGTTGTGAATACGGGACACAGTTTATTCCTGTATTATTATTTATTAATTATTATTTTCCATATGAACAACTGTAAACCTACTTTCACCCCACTCCACATATTAAATGTGTATCTGTACATTTATATATCTACACATATATATGTGTGTGTGTGTGTATATATATCTCTACATATAAATGTACATCCCCCCTCTTTTAATGAACTATAGAAATGATCCCTAAAAGTATAGTCTTATTCCCCCTTTTAAAACACCAGTGTTAGCATTTTATAAATATATATAAGCACATATAGAAACACTTGCATTTTATTACTTATATCTTTTAAACTTCTGGGTTATTTTTATGTAGTAGGTATTATTTGATATGTTCTTTTCTTTTATTTATTTTTTTAATCCTCACCCAAGGATATTTTTCCATTTATCTTCAGACAAAGCAGGAAGGAGGGAGAGAGGAAGAGAGAGAGAGAGAGAGAGAGAAACATTGATGTGAGAGAGACACATCAATTGGTTGCCCTCCACATGATCTGCAGGCTGTCGCTGTAACTGCTGAGCCAAACCGGCCAGGGCTGACATGTTCTTTTAGATGGCCATTTTGGTAGTATTGGTTGGTTTAGTGCTACAGCTTTATTCTGTCTTCTTTCTACCTTAAAATCCAGTCTGAGAACTGATATACCCTATTGTCCCCCAGGTTTAAGTCCTGATCATAGTGGAAAGACTATCCCAGAACAGGAAGTCACAGAGAGAGAGAGAGAGAGAGAGAGAGAGAGTCATGGAAGCAGAAGAAACAAGTAGAATGAGTGATGGTGAAATTGGACTCATATCTGGAGTTCGGCGAGCGGGGCCAGGAATGCTCGATTATCGTGTTGGTCTTTAGGGTTTTCCAGATGTATTTCCTTGTTTTTTTTCTAGTCAGTGCCCATGTGTTTAGGGATGTATTGATCATTCTGTGGATGATTCCTGATGCCTCCTTTTTGTTTTGCATCATTTGCAGTAGTAGGGAGCAAGAGGAACACAATGAAGTTGCTGAGAGCGTGGGCTTTGGAGCCAGCAGACCCGGCAGCCTCTGGCCAGTTACTGACCGTTCTTGTTTTATGTTAGTTTTTTCATCGTTCCAGTTATTTATTACTGTGTAACAACTCACTCCAACTTAGTGGCTTAAAACAAATCATCATGCTCTCTCATGGTTCTGTGGTTGCCTGGACACAACTAGGCAGGTCTCACTTGGAGTCTCATGCAGTTGCCGTGAGACTGGCTGGAGCTGGAGTCATCTCCAGGGTTTACTCCCTCCCGTGTCTGGGTGGATGCTGATTGTCCGCTGGACACCACACAGTCTCATGTGGCCTGGGCTTCCTCACAACATGGCCACTGGGCTCTGAGGGTGAGCATCCCAAGAGCTGGAGGAGGAAGCAGGGTTACCGGGTCCAGCTAGTCTCAGAAATGGCAGAGTGCCACTTCCACATCCCCCAGATCTGAAGAGGGAGGACACAGACCTCACCTCTTGACAGAGGAGTAAAGTGGAGCATGTAGGGTGGGCTCTCTAGAGGCTGCCACCGTTGGAAAATAAGACCTGCCACATTCATCTTTTTTTTCTTTTTTTTTTTATCCTCACCCGAGGACATTTTTCCATTTTTTGTTCAGATAGAGCGGGACGGAGAGAGAGGAAGAGAGAGAGAGAGAAACATCGATGTGAAGGGACACATCGAGTGGCTGCCACCCGCACGACCAACCAGGGCCGGGGACAAACTGCAACCGAGGTACGTGCCCTTAGCGGGAACCGAACCCGGGTCTCTCTGTACCGCAGGCCGATGCTCCAACCGCTGAGCCAAACCGGCCAGGGCCACATTCATCTTTAAACAGGTATAATAATGTCTATTTTATAAGATACTATATTAAGAGATTAAATGAGATAATCTCTGTAAAGCTCGAAGTGGCTGGCACATGGTAAATTGTGAAGGAGTTGTTCAATTGTGAAGGAGTCATTCCAGTGGACGGAAGGCAGGGATGTAAAAGGGGAAAGAATGACAAACATCAGTCAGATCCTTACCCTTATCTGAGGGAGCACCAGTCTTTTTTCTGTCTGAACTTTTTAATGGGTTATTCAAAACATACCTATAAAAGAGAAAAAAAAAACCCTGCATGTTTGGAAGACAATAACAGTTTGCTATTATATCACAGAGAGAATTTTTAAGATTATGTGTTTTTTTAATTTATTGGTTAACTTTAGGGAGAGCGAGAGAAACATCAATTTGTTGTCCTACTTACTGATGCATTCATTGGTTGCTTCTTGTATGTGCCCTGACAGGAGCTCAAACCTGCAACCTTGGTGCATCAGGATAACACTCTAACCTACTGAGCTATTTTAAATTGATTTGAGAGAGAGAGAGAGAAACATTGACGTGAGAAAGAAACATCAGTGCCTACCTTCTTTCTATATGTACTCTGGGGACTGAACCCAGAACCTGTACATGTGCCCTGACTGGGAATCGAACCAGAGACCTTTGGGTGCACAGGACGATGCTCAACTCACTGAGACACACGGGCCAGGGCTCACCTTCTGTTTTTATAACTAGATGCATCAACTAGCAACTTTTCCCCTTTAAATTAAAATTAAGTGAAAATAATACTGGCTTTGTGATACATTCAAACGGAAGGTTGTAAGTTAGTCTCAGGACCTGCCCCTACTTGGCTGAGTAAATCCTGGTTAACATTTTCTTAGGTGTGCTTCCATAAATGTCCTGTGCATATTTTCAGTATACATATATATTTGTTCCTTAAATAGATACCCCAAATTAAATGTTCCTAGCAATGAATTTACTGGGTTACAGGGTGCAATTTATTTATTTATTTTTATTTACTTACTTTTTTTTTTTTGGTTTATTCTCATCTGAGAATATTTTTTTATTGATTTTTAAATAGAGTGGAAGGGAGGGAGGGAGAGAGAGAAACATTCATGTGAGAGACACATTGATTGGTTGCCTCCCATACGACCCTAACTAAGGCCAGGAGATCTAACCCGCAACCCAGGTACATGCCCTTGACCAGGATTCGAACCCAAGACCCTTTGGTCCATGGGCTGACTCTCTAACCACTGAGCAAACTGGCCAGAGCGACTTATTTATTTATTTATTATTTATCTTAGAGAGAAGAAGGGAGCGAGAGAGAGAAAGATATTGATTTATTGTTCCACTTGTTTATGCATTCATTGGTTGAGTATTTTATGTGCCCTGACCGGGGATCAAACCCACAACCTTGGCATATAGGGGATGACGGTCAAACCAACTGTACTACCTGGTCAGGGCCAAAGGATGCAATTTAAATGTGAAATTTTTGTGAATTTAGAAATAATTTTATATTCTTTTG